TTTGGTTTTTAATTTTTCCCTTTTCCTTTATTAATTTTAATGAAAGTTTACAGAGGCTTTGGAAACAGCCTTCCTTTTGTGTGTATGGCTATTATCCTAAGAGTCACGAGGTTGTAGTTCAGGATGGATCCTAAAGTGGTCTTTTTGACTCTGAATACAGCCCCATTATTTTTCCCCCATTTTTTTATTCCCAGTATAGTATATTATATGACCGTCAGATTCAAAGTGGTAAATGCCAGTCCATCTCAGCTCACTAATGCCTGGTATGTTAATCTTTACTTGTTCCATTTCTTTTTAAAATAATATCCAACTTTCCAACTTTTACACATTGAATGTCCCAATTACTAGTGGGTGTTTCCAACTACTCCCCCTTATTTTTTTTATATCTTTCAGTATGAGGGCTAAGCCTTCGGTGCCATACCTAAATCTGTGCTCTATTGGTCAAAGGGTTTTCCAAGGCCTGTTATTTCAGAAGTGGCTGGCCAATCCTTCCTAATACTCAGATAGCATACAATTAATCATTTCGAAGTGTTTAAATCAGTGGCAGTTTGTGCATTTACCATGTTGTGTAATCACCACTTCTCTCCAGTTTCAAAACACTTTCTTCAGCCGAGGAGAATGCCTTGACCCATTATGTGCTCTATTGTCTACCTCCCACCCTCTGGCAACAATCATTCTGTTTCTGTGGGTTTGCCTATTCTGGATATTTTATCTAAAAGGAATCATACATTATGTGGTCTTTGTGTCTGACCCATTCACATGCCATAATTTATTAAAGGTTCATGCAGGTTGTAGCAAGTTTCAGGACTTCACTCCCTTTTGTGTCATAATAATATAACCTTGCATGTATAGTGTAATGTTCATGATTTGTTTATCAGCTCATCCCCTGATAGACATTTAGGGGTTTTACAACTCTTGGTTATTATGAATATAATGTTGCTATAAATATACTTTCTATGTGAACATTAGTTTTCATTTCTCTTGGGCACATACCTAGGGGTGCAATTTCTGGGCCATATGGTAATTTTATGCTTAACTTTTGCAGAAACACCTCTGAGTACTCATATTTTAACTTAAAATAATTGATACTGCCATGGCATCAGTAATGATGTATTCATTCATGTTGTTACAATTTCCCTTTTAGGAGGGACACTGGAAAATTACAAATTGTGAAGAAGCACTTTTTTACATCTGTGAAAAATCAGGCCATGTCCTTTCTGAGTCAGGCTGTCAAGAGGTAAGTGCGTTTGACTCCACTTATTTTACCTATAGGAGCCTTTCTTAACTAGGTTGACTACTATTTAGTGTAAAGTGAGTATCTCCCTTGTGTTTTCTCTCTTTTCTTCCTCTCTTTCTGCTTTCTTCTCTATCATTTTTCCCTTTGTCTTTCTTTTCCCCTTTATTCCCTCATCCTTACTTCTTCTTCCTCACTTCATCTCTCCCTTCTTTCCGCCTTACTTTCCTGTGTGAATGTGTTACCAGCTAGGGGCCTATAAAGGATCTACAGCCTTGGGAAAATTGCTTTTACGGATCATGTTCTTATCAACAATTTTAGCCTAAAAATACTTTTTTCTTTTTAGTTAAAAAAAAGTAATATTTTTGTACTATATCTGTACCAACAGATGGGTAACATGATGCCCCATAACATGCATGGTTTTTGTCATTTTAAAGTGAGGTACCAGAGTGAAAATCCTGCATGCCTCTGAGTAACAGGGAAATTCTTCACCAACCTGCCTTTTCACTTTTGTTAGATTTGTATATTTAGCAAGGTGATAATAATGGAGAGGAACACAATTTTTTAGTAATGTTTTTTGGGAAGAGATAGTAAAAGATTAAGTAATTTTAGTATTTTAAGGTCTTTAATTAATGAAATATATTTGCTATATTTAATTTAAATTTAAGATGTAAACTATTTAAATTTTAAATTTTTAAAATTTCTTGTAATATTGTCCCATATTCTGCAGTAAAGGAAAATCCTAGGGCCCATCAATACCCTCAGGGCACATTCTCCCCATCTTTCCCCCTCTCTCTCTTTCTCTCACACAAATTTAGATTGAATTGATTGGGGGGTTTTTTTACACTATATAACTCTCAAAATTTCCCTCAATTTTATTTTTACAGAACTCTGTGTAAAATATTTTTCTCTTCTAATCCAGCCATCTGTTTCATAAATTGTATTTTCTTCATCATCAATATGTAAATAAATATAAATTACTCTTTATACTCTATAGTTGGACAACACACATATGCTATTTGACATGCCATCAAATATTTTATATAAATATTACAATTCCTAAATTAGTTATAGCTGATCACCTTCTCCATCTCTATCTGACCAAAGATGGTGACTGAGTGGGTGGGTGAGTGAGTGAATGTGTATATGCGTTATTGTGATGGTGTATTTCAAATGTGTATTTCAACTCAACATGATTTTTTTTTAAAGACAACTTTTTACAGAGCAGAAACAGAGCTGATTCTCTGTTCAAACTTGTGTTCATGCTTTTCCTTTCATAACAACACTATTAATATTTAGAAGTTCTGTTGGGTCAGAGATGGTTCTCTAGCATTATGGTAAAATTCCCATTTAATTTCAGTATACATCCATCTATATCCATATATGGTGTTAAGCAATTACTTTCTTTTTCATTTTTGTTTGTTTTTTCATTCACATTGTGTTTCTTACTACCATTCCCATACATTGTGCCTTATAAAATTAATCAACATTAATCTATGCTCACTATTAACCCATCTTTTCAGTTACCCACTGGATCTTTCCTAATTCCTTTACCCCCTCCCTAAATCCATCAAACTCTGTGACCTATAATTTCTCCCCTCTTCTCCATCCCCGACTTCCCTGTCCCTTCTCTCTTTGGATACTCATACACATCTTACTAGTTATCCTTCTGTTTTGAAATAATGTTTTTATGCAGTATTTGTCCTCATGAGCTTGAGTTAGTTCACCCAGCAAAATGAGTTCATTTACCCTAGCCTCTCCCATGTTATATAATATTTTTCTAAATTATTGTTCCTGAGTGCTGTGTTCCATGGGTACGGAGTTGCTCTGCTAGCCCAAAGGCAGGTGGTTTGAATCCACCTATGGAAGAAAAATGGTATGAAAGATGCAATTATAATAACATGGAGAAGGCTGAATCTGACTTCTACTTGCTTAATTAATTTGATTAATTAACTTGATTAATCCCCTCTTCCCCCTGTACATCCACATCCCTCTAAAGACAGCTGATTTTTTAAATAAAATTTTCTTTATTGTAAGACCATTATCTTTCCTAAGGATTATACTATAAATTATTTTAGATATGATCAAAATCTGGCAAGTGTTGGCATAATACAAAAGGTAAGGTCTTTTATAAGATGAATAAGTAAAAATAGGCAAATCGCTGATGTGATTGTATAATATTGGAAAACAAAAAGAAAATAATTCAGTTGCAATATAGTAGATTAATGAGTGCACATGTCCAATCCCATTTTATTTTAAATAGAACCACATTTCAGAGTTCCCAAGACTGACCACAAAACTGACCATTCTGCATTTTTGTCTCTGTGAAAAGCTTTGATTTCTTCCTCCCTAAAAGGCCAACTAGTTAATTTAGGAAAAACCTTTAAAACAAAATATTTATTTTGGCTACTTCTTATTTGGAAGCATTGTAGTCTAGCCAAGACCATCTTGGACTGTCCAAGAACCAGGCTTCAGATCCACTAGTAGTCTGTGATGTTATCTAAGGAAACTCTGATGGCATAGTCCACAGAGTTGCAATGCTAATGCAACGGAAGTGCCTCTCTGGTGGTTTCAATCTTTCTTGGGAGAAAGATGAGCAGTTTCCTCCTATGTGATTTACCATGTTGGAAACCCACTGGAAGGTCTGCTATGAGTCACTTCTGCCTTGATGGCAATGAGTTTGAGTTTCTGAGTTTGAATTTCAACAAATCTCAATGAGAAAATGGGAGGTGATCAATATGGGGGGAGGGGAAACCAGTATAACATCTAGATTCTTGCATTTGTCCTTTTAGTGCAAATATTTTATAATCATTAAAAACCTCACTAAAAAACCAGCTCAATATTGCGCAGATTCTGACTTATAACAACCCTGTAGGATAGAGTAGAACTTGCCCAAAGGACCTCCAGATCTACAGAAGCAGATTGCCACATCTTTCTCCCCATGAGCAACTGAGCAACTGGTGGGTTTGAACTGCCAACCGTTTAGTTAGCAGCTGAGCACTTTACAACTACCTCATCAGGATTTCTTCATAATCATAGTGTTGTTGTTGTTGTTGTTATGTGCTGTCCAGTTGAAAGCTACTGATGAAGCTTAACCTCAGTGGGTTCTCAAAAACTATACATGGCACAAGAGGAACATTTTTTTCTATGGAGCAGCTGGTGGATTCAAACTGAGTACCTTTGAGTTGGCAGCACACCTCCTTACATTATGTTACCTATTCATCAAAATAGGTGACAGTAATTGAATACTTGTTGTACCCTGGATTCTGTTTTAAGATCTCTACCTGCATTATTTCTCTGACATTCTCATAACAATTCCATTGATGTTCCTATTCTATTATACAGATGAAGATATTGAATGCAGAGATTGAGTAAGGGCACATATTGGTGAAGTCAAGATCCAAACATTTATTACTATTTCCTATGATGTTGTTTTTGTTAGGAACTATTGAGTCAAATATGACTCATAGCAAGGAACAACAGATCTGACTCCTGGCCTATCCTGTGCCATTTTTATCATCTCTGACACACTTGAGTCTATTGCTGCAGATACTGTATCAATCCATCTTGTTGAGAGTCTTCCTCTCTTTCACTTACTCTCCTCCTTTCCAAGCCTGGTGTCTGTTTCCAAAGACAACATGCCCAAAGTACATGAGATGAAGTTCTGCAGTCTTTGACTTTAAGGACCACCAGTTAACACTTTCTCCAAAACACATTTGTTTGTTCTTTTGATGATCCACGGGATATTCAATATTTTTCTAACGCCACATCTAAAAAGCATCAATTCTTCTTTTGTCATCCTTCTTCATTGTCTAATTCTCAGATGCATAGCAAGTGATTGGAAAGTCCATTACTTGAATCAGGTACTCCTTAATCTTTAAACTTATATCATTGCTCCTTAGTACTTTGGAGAAGTCTGCAGACTTTGGCAATGCAATTTGTCTTTTGATTTCTTAGCTGCTGCCACCAAGAAATTGTAGTTTCAAGTAAGATGATAAGATGTTAATAACATCAATCTTTTATTATCTATCTATTAACTATCTATTTATCATCTATCCTCTATCTATCATGATGTTGCCTATTGGACCAGTGGTGAGAATTTGCTTTCTTGATGTTGAGAAGTAGTCTATATTGAAGGCTGGGGTCTTTGATCTTCTGCATCAAGCATTTCAAGTCCTCTTCCCTTTCAGCAAGCAAGGTTGTGTCATCTGCATAATGCAGGCTGTTGTAGAGTTCTCCTCCAATCCTGATCCTACATGCTTTTTCATAAAGTCCAGTTCCTTCAATTATTTGCTCAGCACACAGATTGAATGAGTATAGAAAAAGACATTGACTCACACCTTTCTTGAATTTAAGCATGCAGTGTTCTCTTGATCTGTTCAGACAACACCTTTTTGGTCTCAGTATAGGTTTCACATCAGCACAATTAAGTGTTACCATAATTAAGATGGGATTCCCGCTCCACCTTGTTACACCAGTCCCTGGCACTCCCAGCACCCAGACATACTCTTCACCAACGGAGTGGCATGGGCAGATAGATGGTGGCCAGGCTTGGAGTGGGACTGCTGCTCCTTGCCCTTGACCTCCCCACACAGATTTATTCAAATAATACAACTGCCAGGCCATGATCAAGTCATTCCTCCCAGTATACCTCGGTTGCCACACAATCACCCAACACCATCACCGAGGGAAGTGGAGGTCTTGCTCTGCCTCCAACTGAGGCCAAGAAACGCCTCTTCTTCCTCATCTTTGCAACTCCAAAGGGTGCCTAGAAATCCAGTGTGGCAAAGAAAAACCAAATCTCCATTGAATCTACAAATTTCACACCTTATTTTATTGAGCCAAAAGATGTTGACAATCTCTGATTTTGCTGATTTGAAGAACACATCAAGAGCCTGACTAGGTGATAGATGCAGAATCGTATGTGTTGGAGTTTCATGTACCAGATGAAGAACCACAAGTCTAGAGATGTTGTCCTTAAATGGGTCCTAGGAAATCTGGACACTTAAAACTACTTTTTAAAAAGAGAGAATAGTTTTATATATAAATAAAGGATGGCATGTGGAATGGTGATTCACATTTAATTTTGTTCATTAAATCTGTAAGGCCATAAAATTATTAGGTAATATAAAAAGCTTCCATGGTTCTATTTATATGTATATTAGAAGGAACATTTAGATATAAATCCTCCATGTATTGTTTTAGCATTATTAATTTAATGCTATTAAGCTCTAGAGAAAGTTTTCCATTGTTATGCTATCACTATTTTCTTGGAAACTTCTCTCTTCTTTGAGGCTTTGGGTTTGACATTGCATTTGACTTATTATGTATTTAACATTGTCAGGGAATGATAAATTGGAATGTACCCTAAATCAAAACATAATGACTAAATTTTGCTTATACATTTATAAAGTCATGTTAAGCATTTCACATAACCTATATTCTGTCAACAAAAGCACCAGATTCAGTGGGTTAAATTGATTTCAAAGAGTAGAAAGTGGATTGACCTAAACGAATTAAAAAATGCTGCTCTTCATTTCTGCACGTTAGATACTTTTTATAATTTAAAAATTAATCTGTCTGAAGGTCAAACAAACAAAAAATTAGAAAGAAAAAAGGCAAACGTGAAGGAGCCGAATGTAGTGTAAATCAAGAATTTGGGAAGTGATGAGTGGAAGCTAATCTTCATTAAATTCATACACTTATATTCTTTTTGTAAATAATTTAAAAAACGTTATTAATCAGAATAGTCACATTTTAAACACTTTCTGTACTAGTCAATAGTTTTAGATTGTTAGAACAGGTCTTAAGGTGGGCTTGATTCTGAGAAGTAAATCTTTTACAACTGCTTGATACAACATGGTCATGCACTGAAGCTTAGATGTTCCAGTTATCTAATATGAATACAGTAGTTCTGATAACCAAAGTCATCCCCCCGCCCCCGTGGTTAGAAACCTCCATATGGAAACAACCAGATACAACAAATCCTATGAACATTCCCTTTTTCTTCATATCTTAATGCTGTGCATCTGTTTGGATTATATATTGCATTTTGTGTTATTTATGCTTTGATCCATAGTAACTTCTCATGTTATGAAATTGATTTGCATTGAACACAAGCTGTAAATAAAAATAAATGGCTGAAAGAAAAAAAATCGGATTTCCATTCTTCTCAATGTTAGCCATAATTTATTATGATACAGACAATCAAATGCCTTTGCATGGTCAATAAAGCACAAATAGACATTCTTCTGGTATTTTTGGCTTTCATTCAAGATCCTTGTTACTAAGAATTATATCCCTCAACCATAGCCCCTTCTGAATCCAGCTTGAATGTCTTTCCATTCTCTGTTGATGTATTTTTCCAGCTGTTTTTTAATAATTTTCAGCAAGATTTTACTTTCATGTGATATTAATGATATTGTTCAATAATTTCCATGTTCTGTAGATCAGCTTTATGCAGAATGGGGACTTCAGTCAGTTGCCAGTTAGCTGTTTTCCATTTTCGTTAGCCTAGACTAGTGAGCATGTCCAGGGTTGCATCTGTTTCCTAAAACACTTAAACAGATACGCTATTACTTCTTTGGGCCTTATTTTTTGCCAATGCCTTCAATGCAGTTTGTACTTTTCCTTCGGTGCTGTTGGTTCTTGATCATATGCTACTTTCTGAAATGGTTCGGTGTTCACCAATTCTTTCTAATATAGTGATACGATATTCTTTCCATCTTCTTTTGATGCTTCCTGCATCATTTAAGGTGTTGCCCATACAATCCTTCAGTATTGCAACTTGAAGATTGAATTTGTTCTTCAGTTCTTTCACCTTGAGAAGTGCCAAGTGAGTTCTTCCCTTTTTATTCTCCAACTCCAGCTCTTTCACATTCTGTTCTAATACTTTGTCTTCTTGAGCTGCTCTTTGAATTCTTCTGTTCAGCTCTTTTACTTGGTATTTCTCTCTTATGTTTTGCCTTCTCAACACCATAGTACAATTTTCTACTTCCTATAGATTATAAGAAGTTTATAGATTATATAGAAGATTTGTAAGTCTGAAAAAATTATGTATGGTTTTTATTTTATTTTAATAAGTTCTAAGGTAATTAGTTAAATATAGGAGTGACTCGAATCACCAGATAAAATAAAAAACGTGAGGATAAAAATTCCAAGAGTTTGAGTGGGTCAGAGAAGAAGCTTAGGTAAATTGCAAATAAGATTATGCAAAAAAAAGTTTCTTGCTATTTATCGCAATCACATTTACATCTTTTTCTTTTCCAAGGGGTGGGAGAGACATGGTGGATTCTGTTACAAAGTTGACACAGTCCTCCGAAGCTTTGATCATGCTTCCAGTGGTTATTACTGTCCTCCTGCACTTGTAACCATTGCGAACAGGTAAAACCATCTTCTAAGAGAAATATGACTAAGCTTTGACATGAGGGAGGGCTCTTGGTGTGATAAAATCTAGTTGCAGCCAATAACTTGTCAAAATAAAAAGTGTGTTTTGATTTTGACAACTTACAAATACCATTGGTGATGGTGGTGTTATGTGCAAGTTACCAAGTTATCAATACCATTGGTGGTAGTGGTAGTGGTTATTGTTGGTGGTGTTATGTGCTGTTGAGTCAGAACTGACTCATAGTTGACCCTCCAACAGCATTTCAGAGGCTATGAATTGCATAGGAGGGGTTTGCCTATCTTTCTCCGGAGGAATATCTGGTGGATTTGAACTACTTATCTTTGGATTAACAGTGCAACTCCTTACCCACTAGGCTATCAGAGCTTCACCTGCTTATATAGAAAAAGAAATTTATTATTTAACATGTTTTTCAAATATAAAGTGTGTGAGGCTTTTGTTTGTTATTTGTTTTGTTTTTTTAAAGAAGATAACGATATAATTAAAGTGTGTTGGTGTTGGTGTTGTGTACCATTGAGTCAGAACTGACCCATAGCTGACCCTCAAGAAGTTTTCAGAGGCAATTAATTATTCAGGAGGAGATTGTCCATCCTTCTTCCATTAAAGTGTAGTGGGCTTCAACTACTTCATCATTGCTTCTTAGGTTTATTTCTATTTAAATGTACACTTCTTTCTCTTTAGGCATCTTCCTGATGCTAAGAGAAACCATCCCTCATTGTTGTCATTTACCATCAATTCAGAACTCATTCGTAGCTGATCCTCTAGTCCGTTTTAGGAGGCAGTAAATCACATAGGAGGAGATCGCTCATTTTTCTCCTGCAGAGCATCTGGTAGATTTGAACCGTGTGTCTTTGGTTGGCAGTGCAATTCCTTATCAAGAAGCCACAAGAGCTCCCTTTATAATTCATATAGTTCCTAACCTGCTACAGATGTAAAATGGGGATAAAAACACCAGCCACAGACGTGAGCTCAATGTTACTACCAGTGCCAGGAGAATGGTAAGGCCTGGGTGACTGGCTATTCCACACTGAAAGCAGAAACAAGGAGAACTCTGCAGAGGTCTAGTGGGAAATTGTAGCTGCAAAGCAAGCCACTTGGATTTTATTTATTTTTGCCAAAGCCTTTGTCCTTTTTGTTGTTGTTTTCTTTTTTAAAATTTTATATTGGTTTGCATACAAAATTTGTATACATTTTGTTTCTGTCATGTACACTGTTTTCCACAATCTTTCATTTACATTGTGTTTCATATAATCACTCACATACTTTGTGCTTTATAAAATTAATTACTATTTATCCATCTCTATTATTACTCCATCTTTTCAAGTTTTCAATGGATTTTTCCTATTTTACCCTCCCTACCCTCCAACTGTCCACTAAAATCTGCCATCCTAATGATGTCCCCTTCTCTATTTTCAGCCTTCTTTCCATTTCAGACATTAATACACATATTGCTAGTTACCCTTCTATTTTTACACTAATAGTGTTACACAGTGTTTGTCTTTATGAGACTGAGTTAGTTCACTCAGCATAATGTTCTCTTGCTTCTCCCATATTATATACTATTTTATTAAACTGTTTCTTCCTAGTGCTGCATAGTATTCCATTGTCTTTTAAAAATATCCACTAAATACCAGGAAATAAGGAGAAAAATGTTTTCATTTCACCTAAAGACATTTAAGCCTAATTTGTAGGGAGAAGAACTTGTGCAAGATCTTTCTGTTCTCCCCACGAAGGAAGGCACCATTCAAAATCACCAGCATTCCATTCCTCCTCTTATACCCCTTCCTTACCTTGCTGCCTGCTTTACTGTCCTTTTCTTCCAAATGGTACTTACGAATGCATACATGTGTATGTACGTGTGAATACAAGTACGCACTTACCTAGAAGAGAGAGAGGAATAGATGAATGGATGGATAATACAATACTTGACAGACTAAATTGCCTGCCGAAGTCTAGAAGACCCTTTCTCCAGCATCAAGCACCACCTTTGCTGTGTATCTGCATTGTTTTTACTCCTCCCTGTCTCCTTCCTGGGCATAGCTATCAGGAAGAAGTAAGACTTTAGCCCTCCACCTGATAACCCAAATGAAAATAGTCAGGAGAACCTTGGACAGGGAGTGGTCCTGTGAGTGTGAGCTAAGGACAACTTTACTAACCTAACCAGTGAAGCTGGGCTGTCTTTTAATTACAATTTAAATATGCTTTTCACTGAATAAAACAAATCTAATTGTTTCAGCTATTTTTTAAAATGCCTTGTTCTTCCTCTTTGTGTTTTAGTATTCATCGATTGCCTGTCATACTTGGCACTGGGTTGACTGCTTTTTAGATGTTAACTGTTGTTGTTGTTGTTGTTGTTGTTGTTGTTGTTGTTATGTGCCATCGAGTCATTTCTGACTCATAGCGACCCTATGTACAACAGCTCTAAACCCTACTCTATCCTGCGCCAACCACACCGCCTCTGACACACCCATCCCAATTACCCCAGTCACCGAATCAATCCATCTCATAGAGGGTCTTCCCCTCCC